GCCTGCCAGTGTTCTCTCCCTGGTTGTCCCATGAATCTGCTAACTACACTTACTGCATGAGCTAAGTCTGGCCTTGTACAGACCATAGCATACATCAAACTTCCTACGGCACTAGCATAAGGGACTCGTGACATATACTCCTTCTCTTCTTCTGACTGTGGAGCGAACATGGCAGTGAGATGAATATTGGCAGCACTGGGGGTGTCAATAGGCTTAGATGAAGACATGCCAAACCTCGTCAAAACCTTCTGAATGTAGCCTCTTTGTGACAAGAAAAGTTTCCTTCTCTCTCTGTCTCTAATGATCTCCATTCCTAAAATCTTCCGAGCGGCTCCCAAATCCTTCATCTCAAACTCAGCACTAAGTAAACCCTTCAGCTTCTGAACGTCATACTTCTGCTTTGCAGCTATCAACATGTCATCTACATAAAGCACCAGGTAGATGAATGAATCATCCTTGAGCCTATTGTAGTAGACACAACAATCATATGGGCTCCGAGTGTAGCCCAACTTCACCATATAGCTGTCAAATCTTTTGTACCACTGCCTTGGGGACTGCTTAAGTCCGTATAAAGACTTCTTCAACTTGCAAACGAGACTTTCCTTCCCTGGAACTTGGAAACCATCCGGCTGAGTCATGTATATCTCTTCTTCTAACTCTCCATGTAGGAAAACTGTCTTCACATCAAGTTGCTCGAGCTCCAGGTTCTGATGTGCAACTATTGCTAGTAACACGCGGATGGAAGTATGTCTAACCACAGGTGAGAAAATCTCATTGTAGTCCACTCCCTCTTTTTGATTGAAGCCTCTCGCAACGACCTTGGCTTTATACTTGACCCCTTCTGCTGGTGATATTCCTTCCTTCCTTTTGAAAACCCATTTGCAAGTAATGATCTCTCTCCCCGGAGGCTGTATGACAAGATCCCATGTTTGATTCTTATGCAAGGACTCCATCTCATCTCCCATAGCAGTTAACCATTTTTCAGAATCAGAACTTAAAACAGCTTCTCTGTAGGTAGATGGTTCAGAAGTATCTACCTCTTCAGCAACCTGCAGTGCATAACCCACCATATCCTCAAAACCATACCTCATAGGTGGCCGAACTCCAACCCTTCTTGGTC